AGGTCAAATATTGCTTTAAGCACAGCGTTTCACAAACACACAATAGTTAACTTGAAAAATTTAAAATTATAGGACATCATCTTTCACTGTTTAATTCCAGATTTAACCATAATTTCCAACAATGTGCACTAACTCAGTGCATTTGGCAAGAGCCCAATGAAAGAACCTTTTTTTTGGGTTGCAAAAGGAGGAGATATCTTGAGATTTTTTATAGGACAAATTTTCAAAACCAACCTCTTTCAACATTTAATCCTAAAAACCTACCTCTTTTTCACTTAATTTCAAAAACCGACCTGGTTTTAGCCCTGGCGCTAAAACCATGTCGGTTTTTGAAAAAAAAATTTCGAAACTTCACGGGAGTTCAACTCCCGTGAAGTTTTGTTGATTGAACAAACTTCACAGGAGTTGAACTTCCGTGAAGTTGTATTTGTTGAACAAACTTCACGGGAGTTCAACTCCCGTGAAGTTTGTAACATGCCAAAAACTCCACGGGAGTTGAAATCCCATGGGGTTTCAGTCTAATTTCCAGAGAGCCAACTCTCGGAAAATTTTTGACTGCAACTCCACGGGAGTTGAGTTGCATGTTTTATAAAACATGCACAGCAGCCTGTGCATGTTCTGTACGTAACGTACATCATATATGTTATATTTACCTGTTAATAATAATTAATCTCATATACGCTGAATTACAACAATATATACATAATTCTACCATGAATTAAACACGAATCAAACAATACTCACAAAGAGTACATATATAAACAATAATTGATCCACAAAAGTATAGTATTTGAAAATTCATAAAAGTTACAAATTTTGACAAAATAAGCTCACATACAACCCAAAATAGATCCTCTCCCTCTCTTCCCCCTCCCCCTCGCTCTTCCCCGCCCCCTACGTTATTGCTGATGAACCTCGAATATCTGAGTATCCTGTTGTGTATAAGGCTGCGAAGTGCTAGCTCCATCAGCATGCGAAGTGTCGGCTCCATCAGCATGTGAAGTGACGGCTTCATCGTCATGTGGCTGTCGTTGTTGCGTGTACGCTTGCCCAAATGATCGAGACCTGTCCTCATGGCCTGCAAACTTTCACCGGATCTGATGCTCTGATACCAACTTGATACGAGTTGCCGTGCGAGCACCCTTTGGTCGCGGAATTACCAAAAGGTGGGTTAAGAAGAGGACGACCAAAACACAAGAACAATTCAATTTGGCGAAGGAAAATACCTTCTCTAGATTATGAAGAACAAAAGATTACAATCTCTCCCTCACAATCTCACTCTAGAATTGAAGAACAAGCTCTCCAAATCTCAATCTAGAATCTAATCTCTCCTGATTAAACTGTCTGATCTCAAAGATATTTAGAAACCCTAAAACAATCCCTTATATAGGTGTATAAGCGTGGATGGTAGTTTGGTAAATAACCAGACCCAAAACCAATAGGAATTCGTGTGAACAGAATCCCAAACAAACCAGGAAACCATCGATGAGTCGACTCATGACTGAGATGAGTCGACTCGTCAGAACTAGACAAAACTCAAAAACCAGTGATGAGTCGACTCATGACAGTCATGAGTCGACTCAACCTGATGAGTCGACTCATGACTGTTATGAGTCGACTCACAGGCTGAAAACTGGATACTTCGATTCTTCTGCTCGTTGTCTCGTTCCACGCTTCCTCCTGCGTTCCCTTGTGCTGTTTGACACCTCTATTCTCATGCTATCATGAGAATCATCTATCCTCAAGCTCCCATGAGGATCGCTAAGTTCCAAAGAGAAGATACACCCATATCATGGGTCCCCTCTTTAAGAACTTAAAGTCCCATTCAAGTTAGAACTTTTGCTGAGGAAACTCTCGAGCTCCTCCATCTTTTCTGCACCACCTGGCCTTGCTAGGAATCCGGTCTCGACGTCCGATCGGAAACAACTCATTCGTCCCGCGTCTCGTCATAGTCACCGTTCGCTCTAAGTTGCAATCCTTTATCGATGGCTTTTCTGGAAGTCTAATGCACAGCAAGACAAACTTCTTGCTTGCATTCACTAGTCTCTTCACTCGCGTCACCGTCCCCAAGCTGGTCTCCTTCGGAAGAGATGCTGAACGAAATATGAACTTTTCACCATCCTTAGTGAAGGTGTACTTCTGAGCCCGCCTCTCGTAGATCGCATATCTATCTCATAAATACGGATTGCCCAGTATAATCTGATAAACATCCAATGGAACGACATCGCACGTGACCTCATCAATATACGACTCGTGGAGCGAATCTGACAGTGCACTGGTTAACTACACTCAGTTTCTCCTCCTTCCGAATCCACCCCAATGGATAGGGCTTCGGATGCTTGACCGTCTTCAAACCTAGCTTCTACACCAATGCCTCGGATATCAAATTCTTCTCGCTGCTCGAATCAACAATGGCATCAACCAAACTGGTCTTCACTTGCAACTTAAGAACAAAGAGTTGCTCTCTCGGGTCGTCGTCTTCTTTCGTGGTCTGCTTCCTCGTCATAAGGTTAAGACTGCTGTTAGGCTCTGTCATCCTCGGGACTTCTTTCGAACCTTGAGCTATCATGTATGCCTTTTTCTCCTTCTTCTTCTTCAACCCTCTTGGCTTGAGATGAGGATACTTCTCCCAACACCGATCACCTGTATGCACTGTCTTCTCGCAGTGACTACAAACCAGCCCTGCTTTCCTTGGATCACCCTTCTTCTTCTCCTCCTTAGATTAAGAACCACTAGACTCGCCTCCCGTCTGTTTGGAGTCTCCCCTAGCCTCGTTACTCTTCTTTTGCCTACCCACGATGGCAATTGCCTTCACGCTCGCCTCTGCGATTGATTCCACCGTGAATAGCCTCATCTCCTTTCGGAATTGCCTTCACGCTCGCCTCTGCGATTGATTCCACCGTGAATAGCCTCATCTCCTTTCGGATGTGATCGTTCAGTCCTGCCATATACTTCATAAACACGGAATATTCCTCTGTCGCAATGTTGAGGACCATCGCCTGCTGTTGGAACTCCATGGTGTATTCTTGAACGGTTTGATTGACCCTTTGGCGCAAGCTGTACCACTTGTACCAACGTTCTTCAAGGAATCCCATCGGGTAGAACTGCTTCCTCAGTAACTCCTTGAACTTGTTCCACGATATCACCTTCTTCTCCTACTTGCAGTAGGATTTCCACCACGTCAACGCGTGCCCTGAAAGCTTCAAAGTCGCGAACACAATCTTCTTTTTTGACGAATAGCCATAAAGAGTAAAATACATCTCCATCCGCTCGATCCAGTCATCAAGCCTCTCGACATCAACACTCCCATCATAAACAGGAATCTCTACCTTGAAGTCAATCTTTAGGTTCTGATAAGAATTCTTACCACCTTGATGCAATGCAGTCTTAACGGTCTCCTCCTCCTCGTCGGAATTTAAATCTACTCTCTCCACATCGGACTCAACAATTTTCTTCAAAAAAGATTAACCTTGTTTGCCACCTCTATGGATAAGACTGACGAGTTGTGTGAGAGTCGAACCTATCATCTCGATCTGCTTCTCCAATGCATCAATCCTCGCTGAATTATCTCCTTCAGCCATCTTCTCCTTCCTTAAATCTCGAACTCCTTCTAATGAAATAAGGACCTCGCCAAGCTCCTTGTATTGGGATCGAGTAAGGACCATACACAGGATGCCCCTTCACCGGATCTGATGCTCTGATACCAACTTGATACGAGTTGCCGTGCAAGCACCCTTTGGTCAGGGAATTACCAAAAGGTGGGTTAAGAAGAGGATGATCAAAACACAAGAACAATTCAATTTGGCGAAGGAAAATACCTTCTCTAGATTATGAAGAACAAAAGATTACAATCTCTTCCTCACAATCTCACTCTAGAATTGAAGAACAAGCTCTTCAAATCTCAATCTAGAATCTAATCTCTCCTGATTAAACTCTCTGATCTCAAAGATATTTAGAAACCCTAAAACAATCCCTTATATAGGTGTACAAACGTGGATGGTAGTTTGGTAAATAACCAAACCCAAAACCAACAGGAATTCGTGTGAACAGAATCCCAAACGAACCAGGAAACCATCGATGAGTCGACTCATGACAGAGATGAGTCGACTCGTCAGAACTGGAAAAAACTCAAAAACCAGCGATGAGTCGACTCATGATAGTCATGAGTCGACTCAACCTGATGAGTCGACTCATGACTGTTATGAGTCGACTCACAGGCTAAAAACTAGATACTTCGATTCTTTTGCTCGTCGTCTCGTTCCACGCTTCCTCCTGCGTTCCCTTGTGCTATTTGACACCTCTATTCTCATGTTATCATGAGAATCATCTATCCTCAAGCTTCCATGAGGATCGTTAAGTTCCGAAGAGAAGATACACCCGTATCACTGTCTGTCGGTGGGCGTGGCATGTGTCCAGCTGATGGTTGTGGGTCACGCGTGATCCATCTACGTGTGATATCCCAATACCAATGCATATACGTGGTATAGTCAACAGCTATGTCTCTTGTATTCTGTATGAAATCCCACCTGTGAGTTCACCTATCTATGTAGGACGCACGGACTACGGCCCAGTCGGTACGGTGCAATGTAGGTCGTCACCGGCGATCGATCTGCTCGACATGCTCTGGCACATGCTGAGAGAGCAAAAAATACTGTAGCACACAGTCGGGGACATGCATCTTTATAATCTCCCAACAGATCAATGGAACTCTGGCTCTCCACAAGTCGGGACTATCTCGACAGATAGGTGCAAGAATATGCATATCGAGCTCCGACGGTGAATAGGGTCTCCACTTGAACTAAAATAAGATAAAATATTTATTAGTATTAACAATAAAACTATAATATTCATAACGAATCGAGTTTTATATTTACTTGTTCATGTTGGAGGACATCAAGCTCATTTCGGTAAAACACATGATGTCGCGTCGCTAATTTGTAGTTAGTGTACCACATGTTATACCTATTTGGCATAAATAATATATGAGTTCAAATTCAGTTGAATAAAATTGTATGGACAAGTATACTTGTATGTCAAAGGAAACTGTCCCTGTAAGTCACGGTGCATAAGCAAAGTTGGTCTACCAATATGAATGCGTTCCCATGATCAAATCTGGATCAACGTGTAACATCCCTTGAATTCTTTATTCTGCATTAAGGATACTCTACCCAGTTCTCTATACAAGTATGCCAACACCGCACTACCCCTACGATAGTACGCCGCCGCATACACCAAAATCCTACAGCAGTGGCAGCCATCGTACATGTACAAGAGTCTTGCTCACATCAGGAAATAGCATGCACCCTATCGTGTGTAGTATGTACGCACGAGCATAAAACTCAAGCGTCTCAATGGAGGGATCTGCTGGTATGTCTCTCTGAAATGTCTGACGAAGCCACGATAGCTTCATCGCACTACTCCTCAAGTCGGGAACCTGACCAAGAAGCCTAGCACATACCTCAGCCCAATTATGGTCATCGCTGCTCGTAACTACCGGGCCATCGATGCAGAGCCCAAGTATGACGGCTACGTCCTGTAAGGTGATGGTACACTCCCCTATATGCATGTGAAAGGTATTGGTTTCTGGCCTCCACCTCTCAATCAGTGCAGTGATAAGGGACCAATCAAGCCTAATATATCTCACTGTCAAACACTCCCGAAACCCGGCCTGAGCTATCAGTTGTAGTACTCTCTCATCCATAAAGACCCAAGCCGAATGACTCTGGGAATGATCGACCATGGTGATGTCTGGTATGGGCTGCACGTCAAACAAAATTGATTAAGTATATTGAGAAAAATTAAAATTAGTGCCAATGCTAAGGAATATATATACCAAAAACATTTTACCTGTCTTGAGCCAATATGGTCTGAACAATGACTTACCTGGAGGTACAAAACGTCGAGATGTATCGGTCCCGGATCCGTAATGAATATATCTAAGATTAAAATATTAGAGGACAATGTACAATTTGTTAGATATTTTAGTTGAATGACTAACTTAGTCATATATCAAAAACATATTACAACAAATGAATGCGCAATGTGAAGAAAGAATAATTTGAAACCAGACATTACAATTAGATCCCAAAACATAGTACAAAACGCTACAAATTATAATTACAAATATCATACGGAAACAAACATAGTATGAAACGCGACAAATTACAAATCAACGCCTAATCCTAGCTGGACAACTATTTTTGTTATGACACGGTTGATCGCATCTACTGCACTTATTTCTCCTCCTAATTCCTTCACGACCGTCATCCATACTATTTCTAATTCGTACGGTACGAGGGCGTCCTGCCGACCTTTATACAAAGGAGGTAATATCCTTGGCCCGTCTTGTGTCCAATGTCGACTATCATATGTTTTACGAAAACACTCTTTGTATGTTTGTTGATAGTTGTAAGTAGAATACCAACCCGCGACGAACTCATAATGTGAAATCTTTGCACCACCCTGTAGATCAGAACAAGTCGCGACAACATGTGAACAAGGAATCCATTGTAGTTGTGGTACATTACAAGTGTACGTACATGTGTGATCCACTAACATATTAACTTTGTAAGAGCGGTTTTCTCTATGTGATATTCCCTCAATAACCTCTCATTCATTAAAACTGTATCTTACGACGTGAAAGGATCGACTCTCATAATCTGAGCCGCTAGCATTATCAACCTTCGATGTGAGATCTGAGCGGATATTTTTACCAAGTACGCGATATCAGAGAAAGAAGTTATTAAGTCAGTAAAATGTTTTAGCAACTAGTGACTGTATTGGCATACCGCGTGCTCCCCTGAGCATGCCATTGAAACTCTCAGAAGTGTTTGTAGTCATCATACAGAACCGTCTCCTACCATCTTCACATAAATCCCAATTATCAACATTGTGTGGTCCCAAACTAGTTTCGATCCAATCATGTGCAGCTCGTGAAATGAACTTAATCCTCTCTCATATTTGATCATAAACTAATTTTTCTGTTGCACAACCGGCTTGCCAAAGAAGATCTTGAACCTGACTGTTTCCATACTTCTTCTTGAAGTTGTCCCTAATATGTCGTAGACAATAACAATGTGCATGTGGTGACGGGAAATGACATTGGAGTGCTCTTGGAATTCCTTTCATCCTATCAGATATGAATGTAACTGGCCTCACCCCCACACTAGGGATATGATATCTAATGCATGTAAAAAACCACGCCCAATTCTCTGTGTTTTCAACACCAACCACTACAAACACAAAAGGAAACAACCCGCCATCCACGTCAACTCCAGTTACAACAAGCAAAACACATTTGTACTTACCGTATTGTAGGCGTATAAAATTGCTTATAGATCCCTTAGCACAGCTCAGCACAAACCGACGAACCAACGAGGCGATGAGGTTAACGAATCGCACGCAAACAACGGAATAGATCCACTCGCGTGCGGAATCAAGCTAACGGGTTGAAGAGTCAACGAGTCATCCATCCAAGGGCGGACTCGGACGAATCACGATCGAATCAAGATCAGTTTCGGACTCGAACTCAGAATCGGATTTACTGCCAAATCAGGTCAACGATTCAAGTCCGGATAAATCAAACCACAGAACCGGATCACGGACTGAACCAAAAATGGAAAACCACGCCTAAGGGGGCTCGGCCAAGAGCCGAGCCACCTATAGGTGGCTCGGCCCAGAGCCGGCCACCTATAGGTGGCCGGCCCAGTTCTGTGCGCGGGCACAGTTCAGAGAGCCTATAAATAGGCCCCCTTGGTTCATTTTTCAAGGGTTGGAATTTTTGGACCGAGACTTGGGCGATTGTTTCCTTGGTGAACCAATCCCCCCCGGCTATTATTTCCTTCGTGAAATAATACCCGTCATACTGCGTAGATCCGATCGGATCTAGATCTCGCGGTGGTCCACGGATAAACCCCGGCGCAGGCAAAGAACCCACAAAGCGATCGACCGCAAAACAGGAGCTCGTGATTTGTTCGACAAAAGAGAAAAGTTGTAATTTTTATTTCTTTTTTGATCTCGTTGTAACCGGATCTTATAAAAAGACCAGATTTTTGTAATCGAAAAACAGTTACAAGAGTGCAATGACATCAATGAAGAACACGATTTTTCCCGCGAACAATCTGGCGACCACAGTGGGAGCCGCCGATCTCGCTGCCGAGATCGGAACGTCGCAGCCGCGGATCTCAATCCCGGTCGTGGAGGAGGGCGAATACGAATTCGACCAGCAGAAGTTCGAGGAGTACTTGTCGTCCTCGTCCGGATCAACCTCCCCCCGCAAGTCCAAGAAGTCCAAGTTCTCCTCCAGGAGAAAAACTCGTTGGTATGAAGACGTTAAAAACACCAACGAAGATCTCACCCCGTTTGATGCCAAAGTCGCATCGGGTGAGATTCCTCCAATTCCCAACCAAGGTAGATCTACTCTGGCCAACCTTTCTGCCGCAGAAGGCGTGGTGACTCTCTCGAAGAGAGCCCGCCAAAGGCAACGTTAAAGCCTTGCGAAACAATTCGCAAAGGCCATGGAGTCAATTGACGGGATCCGCTACAACGTGGATCTGAAGAACAAGAGAGGTAAACAGCCTTAACAACAGATGAACGACGCCTCTTCTAAGCCGCCAATAATGGAATGGGTCCGTGTCAAACGGAATCGTTCGACGCTGGAAGAACGCATCCGCAAACGCCGCGCACTATCAGCGCAGGCACGGGCTTAAGCCGAAGAAGCCCGTAGAAAGATGCAGAAAGAGGTAGCCAAGAAGCCGCCACCAACTCGCAAAGTTTAGAGGCCTAAGTCTGAAGCGGCGGTTCAGACCAAAAAGCAGCAACTGCGGCCGTCGAAAGTGCAACCTTCGGCGAATCAATCCAGACCGCCGATGATTTCCACAACTACCCCGGGAGATCCTGCAGGACCATCCCAGAAAAGGAAGTCAGTCTTGGAGCGCCTCGGTCCACTTCCCGAGGAGTGAAGTAAAGCTCCAATCCAAGGACGTTTGGGCCCACTAAGAAAGCCCCAAACAAATCAACATGTTGGGGGTCGCCGCAACCCTCAACATGACAAAGAAATCATGGCACCCAAGCGCACTATGCTGCGCATTGAAGTTCAGGAGCCCGTCGAGGATTCACGCCCACAAAGGTGCGTTTCGAGGCACGTGATTCTCGAAAGTACGAAGAAGGTAATTCGCTCTCAGAAGGAAACATTATCGTCTGATGATGATTACGTTATACCTGAGAAATCGTGCCGACACACGATAGGTTGCTCCGACTTTCAAACAGAAGAGCTGTACTATCGTGCTGGGGGTACGAACAAAGCCAGAAAGAGAAGTCCTCGAAGGCTAGAAACTCAGTGCCCTTGTTCAAAGCTCATTCGGGCAGTACTGTCTGAGTGCAACTGCATTAAGGCAGTCCCCGAGAGAATTTCAGGGTTCGAAAGACTTAGCGGCAAAGAAGAGCAGTGGTTGAAGACGGAGAATTTCCGAGAGTCACCACCAATATGACCAGCAAAGGGACATCGGTACGAGATAATTTCGAGTCGATTCTGAAGGCATCCCAGCGTATAACCCATCTGCAGTCTAGAGCCATTAAACGGAGAAATTATGGTAGGGTTCGGACGAGAGTACCTTCAGAAGATGAAGAGTCGGATGCCAGCTCGGCGGTCGCATCTGACAACACAGTATCCAGCGAGGGGCAACCCCGCGAGTCATTCATGATAAGCGCGGAGCAAGTGGCTAAGATGCTTGAAGAAGCCATGAATAAACAACAGGAGACCTTCAGATTTGAAATGCAGATGGTCATGCAGAATATGAGAGAAATGCATGAGCAACAAATTCAAGCACTGACGAACCAGCAAGGCGAGCCAAGTCGTCGTAACCAGGTTCATCAAGAAGATGAGGATACGAATGCGGATGAAGCTCACAATGCCAATAATCCTCCCGTCAATGCAGGGGGTGGTAATGAGGATGCTAGTCGTAATGCCACACTTCCGCCACAGAATCGTGCTAACGAAAACACAGGCGAAAGTCTGAAGATCAAAAACCTCGAGAACAAGATCAATACGTTGATTTCTGCTCAAGAGGTGAAGAAAACAGGCATTCCTTGTCCATACCCAAGAGAATGAGAATCAATTCCATATCCGGCAAAGTTCAACTTAATCAAATTCACGCCGTTTGATGGGAAGGGTTCACCCACTCAGCATGTGATTTATTTCAAATCACACCTGGGGGTAATCTCCGGCAATGAGCCTCTGATGGTGCGGTCATTCGTCGGCACTCTTCGCAGAGCCGCCTTCGATTGGTATCGCCGCCTCAAGCCAGGTAGCATGAACAGCTGGGACGATATAGAGACCATGTTCCTCACCAATTTCTTCGATGACGACACCGAGATATCTATCGGATCATTGCTCGATGAGAAGCAGAAGGATGGGGAGTTAGTCGACACCTTCGTCAAAAGGTTCCGGAACAAAGCAATGAATTGCCGGGACCCGATCACCGAAGAATTCCAGACCTGCCATAATAATCTGTCCTTGGACGTGTTGGAAGCAATGGGGACAGCACCGTCCAAGACGTGGAAGGATCTGAAGGTCCGAGGAGAGCAGGCTGAGCGATTCCTTAGGAGAAAGAAGGCGGAGAGAGGCCAACAGGCGGCAAATGCTCCAGCACAGAATTTCAACCCGAGGGGGAAAGGTAAGGCACATGCTAATGCAGTTGATACTAATCAAACCTTTCAATTGCAACCTCAGCAATAGCAGCAGCAAAGAGCGCCACAACAATCGCAGCCGCAATGGCAACAGCGGCCTCAGAAGCAAAGAGCGGAGCCAAGATTTCCTAAGGTGTACTCCTTCAAAGATGACAAGGTGCCCGACATCTTCAAGTACCTATTGGAGAACAACAAAAACCAACTGTCGGCGATCGTGGATCAAGAGGGAGCTAGCAAAGTGACGGATCCG